ATGTGACTCTATTTTCCCCCACACACTCTGAAACTATAAACTCACTCTTGAAATCGTGTAAGCCAGTCACTTTGAGCCTTTATCAGTCCCTTGTCCTGGTCTGGTGTTATAGGCTAAACCCTGGACTGCTAATTACAATGTCAACAGCCCAAACTCACCAGCCGCTCCTTGGAAACCCTTTCCAGTGTTGCTCTGAATTAGAACTGACTCAATGTCACTTGAAAGTTTAAAAGTAAATGTCATGGAGTGGATAGCAATTTTTAGTGACTCTAAAATAATGATAGGACAACTTGGAGAAGAGAAGAAGAAACATGACTACCTTGTGGAGAACAGCTTGAACAATGTCATGTTTAAGGTGGCATGGTGTGCTCATGGTGCAGAGGAACAACATTAATAGTTGTAAGACCATCAGCATCTACTGCCTGGAAGAACAATAATTGTCAGTAGTTTTCAGTGCACCCTGGTTCACTGAAACACATGTAACACAAAAATAGATTATGGGTTTTCCGGCTTATCATGCCTCATCCTAAAATAGTTGAAAAAATTTCCCTCTCCTTTTAAAAAGGTTAGAATCTTCTAGGAGAAGGTAAAATTCTTGGTAACAATATTCATGTTCAATGTTTTCTGTTCAAAACTGACACATAATCAGAAGTGTATCAGATTTGAACTGCTAAATATATGTGTGACTTTAAGCATATTGACTTATGTATAGGTTATCTGAGGAGCCGTGGTGGGTGGTGTGCTATAGGATAAGAACTAGACTGATAATTGCAAGGTTGGCAGTTGAAATCACCAGGGAGAAAAGATGGCTGTCTTTTCCTGTAAAGATTTACTTACTTGGAAACCTCATAAAAGGGTGGTTCATTAGGAGTCAAATCAAATCTGTAGCAGTGGTGTATATGTATTTAGTCACATTTCAGTATGATATGAATGGAAGGAAAGACCATGAGCTTTGGGACTATTCCAATGTGGATTTAGCCCTATTTGGGTAGACTGAATTTCCTCATCTGTGTAAAACCAGTATAAAAACCACCTTCAAAGTTTTTCCAGTGAGGAAAATTTAAAATGCCTTGGATGGTGTGGATGCTCAGATGTTGATTTCCTTTCCCCTTTGTTTGATTGTCTTCTTTGTAGGAACAGTTGATGAAAAGAAGACAAATGTAATTATTAGTTTTCTGAATTCATTCTTTCCCCAGAGCATCAGTATCTCATCAGAACTGTTTTTAGATGAAATATGTAAACTATTGATCTTTATTTAGAGCTTCATTTAGACAGTATGAGCAGGGTTTGAATATAGCAGTTAAACCTTCCTAATGAAAGATAAGCCTATATTCATGTCTGTATTTGGGGCTAAACCCATTTTCTTAACAGGTATTGGTTAGGGAGAGTGTAAAAATACCCTTTATCCTTAGAATATCTACAGGGAGAGGAGCTCTAGAGGGAGTGGAGTCGAGACCTCTCATTTTTAGGAAAATGGGCAATGGGTAAGGAACCAAGATAAATCCAAAGTTAATGGTTTTATGGGTTGGTGGTTGGTTGCTTATGCTGACCAGGTATTGGAGCAGGTGCTTACCCAACCGAATAAGCAAATGTCTTCTAAGTCACCAGTGTGGCACTATAGGAGAAACAATGGACTGCTAAGTACAAGGTTAGTGGTTCAAACCTATCAGCCGCTTCTTGGAAAATCTTATGCAATAGGGTCACTATGAGTTAGACATGACTCAGTGACACTTAACAAGTTATCAGTAAGATGTATTTTTTTGTTGTTGTTGCTATTTCAACAAAATGAAATGTAATTGTGGTTATAACTGAGAGATCTAAGCCTTCCTTAGCTGAAAATCTCCTGATGAGGAAAAGAGTTCTTTCTAGAAACATCGGTCTGGATTCTCATGTTTGTATAATATAAAGTGTAGTATTTGTTCTCAGATACAACTGAATTATTACTAAGCTCTAGAATTTTAGAAGCATCTACAGTTAAGCATAATATTTAAATTGGGTGACTTGGTGTAATTTAAATAATAAGTTTCTATTATTTACTTCGAAGGACTGTAGAAGATTTCTCAATCATCTAAACAACAGGCTTGGTGACCAGAGAAGGTAAGATAGCTGTGCGTTACTTTACCTTGTTATATTCTGAAACTATATAAAAAACCTAGAATACTAATTGGCTTTAGGAAAGAATATAGGATACAGAATATACTTAGCATTACTGAGTTGATTGTGGGGGAGAAGATAAGACATTCTGCTCCGGTGAAGATTTAAAGCCTCGTAAACCCTGTAACAATGTCGCTGTGAATTGGAACTGACTTGAGGGCACTTTAAAAACATCACTGAATTGTTTAAGGGACTCTGGGAGCTCTGTAGGCTAGATGCTGGACATCTAACTATAAGGTTTGTGGTTCAAATCCACTACTTATGTAGGAGAATGTGGAGGCTTCTGCCCCTGTAAAGATTTACAGCTTCAGGAAACCTTTAAGGTGTCCCTGTGAGTCAGAACTGAGTAAATGCCAGTAGATGTGCTTTTTACTGAGTTGTCTCTTGAGTATAGAGCTCAGAGAATTATGCTCTGCCTGCCTGTTGGCTATTGGTATATTTAAAAACTAATTCATATTAATCTTTTAATATATTTATTATGATTTGGGATTTAAAAAACAATCACATCCTCCAGGGAACCCACAGATTTCTGTTTTAAAAAAATAGCCGTTTTTGTGAATTAAGTGAAAGTGTACAGACAGATCATCAGTTTTACATTCAGTAAATCATATTTTGTTTCATTGCAGTGATTAAAATCTACGTATACCATTAGTTAATAGTATTTACCTCTGTCTCTCCCCCACTTTCTTTTTTATGTACACATACGAAATAGGAAGTATATGCTTGTTTAAATGTCCACAGGGCACATTTTGCAAGCTGGCCTCCTGCTTGCAGGCACACAGCTTTTCTCAGTCTTTGGGCCTAGAGCCCTCAGCTGCTCTGTTTCTCTGTGCCTTGCCTTCTGCCACTGTTTGATGTCACCGCTCTTCTGGCTAGGATCCCTTGCTCCACTCATGCTCTTCCCTCTTGCTGGTCCTAGGGTCCTCTGTTCTTAAAATGAAAGATTAACTACTCCCTCCTTTGAGTTACACATCTTCTACATTTACAGTTGTGAACATTGCAATTAGTCCTAATAACAATTATTCACAACTGAATCATAAAATCCTACCCCATCATCCCACGTCCCCTTTTATCAGACCTATCTGGAAAAGAGGAAAACTAATCAGTAGGGATTCTACTTTGCCCACCTCATTCTGAAACTAAGCACATTCATGAAAGCTTATAAAACGTTGTGTTGTTTTGGCCCCTCATTTTTGATAGCCAATGTCCCCTATCCATCCAGTGTACTGAGGCGGCAACTTGATTCTTGATATGAAGATGAATCCTTCCCTTTTGGTTGGAATTTTGAACAACTACATCTATACGCTAAGGTCTATCAAATTGTAGCAATTTATGATTGCTTCCTGTATCCAACTTCTTCATCTGGTCGAGTTCTGGTCAGCTAGCTATCCAAACTAGGTCAAATGGGTGTTGTCTGCAAGTTTGGGAGTTATTACACACTTCCTCCAACACACACCAGCTGGCTGCTTCACTCTCAACTCTAGTCCCCCAGCAAATTCGGTCAGTGCCCTTGGGTACGGGAGTTCACCCGTCTGCCTAAAGTTCAGACCAGCCAGCCTTTCCTCTTCTCTCTCTGATAGAACCCACAGATTTTATGATGAGCATTTTCCTAATGACTTTAGGTCATCACTGAAGACAGATTGTTTTATGAACAGTTATTGATGAAAAACTTACTAAATTCAGTCTTCTTGTGGAGAACCTTGCCAGGCAGCTGGGTTGAGGTCTAGTACCAGTCGATCTTGTTTGGAGTTCCCAGTAGTGTAGATGGTTAATGCATTTGATTGGTGACTGAAAGGTTGGAGGTTCAAATCCACCCAGAGGTATCTCAGAAGACAGGCCTCAGAAAACAGTCCATCTAGTTTCGCAAACTCAGCCATTGAAACCCCTAAGGAGTGAGCACCCTTCCATTCTGACACACATGGGATCACTGTGCTTTGGCGCTGATTTCAGTTCAAGTGATTTTTTAGAACCTGGCCCACTATTTGCAGGTTGAGGCTCCTTGCCATGCATTGTATATACCATAGCTATATGGTTTACTCTCATTAAAAATGCTTGTTTTAGAACATCTTTTGGTTGGCTTAGGGCCCGTCGTATTTTATGGTTTTAACATTGTGTTGTGTTGCAGGGTCTGTTCATTTCCGTGTATCACTGCCTTTGCCGATGGCCATGAGGTAGGTATGTTTCTTTCACATACATACCTGGGCGGTGTGAAATGAAACCCAGAGTTATGTTTATGTAATCAGGGTAACTTCCACTCTTGATGTTGAGAATGGCCGTTTTTTGAAAATGGAAGCGAACTTCTCATCTTAATATTTTGCTCTGAAAGATACCCCTTTCTCGTATTTCCCTCAAACCACAACTGTAAGTTTAAGGGGACCCTCCTACTACTATTTGGAGGCCTGGTGTGCCACTGTGGCCTAATGCTACAGACTGCCAAGTTGTTTGAACTACCAGGTGGGTGGTTTAAGTTCACCAGCTGCTCCTCGGAAAACCCTATACAGGGTCGCTATGGATCGGAATCGACACGGCGACACTTCACAACAACAAAGTACTACTATTTGGAGTTTGTGGATGGTACAAACAGTTACCATGTTTGGTTGATAACTGAAAGGTTAGGGGTTCAGGTCTACCTAGGGGTGTCTGAGAAGGAAAACCTGGTAATCTGTTTCCAAACATCAGAGAAACCCTTTGGAGCACATTTTTACTGTCACACATGGGAGGCTGATCATGAGTTGGAGGTGACTTGACTACTACTGGTTTGTTTTATTTTTAACTCTGTCTATTGATAGAGGAAGTTTAGGGTTTATACTATATATGGGAGGTCACAGAAGAAGTCGGCTTCATTTTAAGGAGCACTGGTTACACACTTGAAACACTTAATTGCTAAACAAAAGGTTAGCAGTTCAAACACACCAGTTGCTCCTTAGAAAGCTGTGGCGGTGCCTCTGTAAAGATTTCCAGCCTTGGACACCCTGTGGGTGGGGTCTCCTTTGTTCTCTAGGGTCTCTGAGTTGGAACTGATTCAATGCTAATGGGCTTAGTTTGGGTTAGCCTCATTTTAGCTTGTTAATGGGCAGTATTGTTCATGCCCAAATAGAATGGAAAAGGGCAAATTTTTTTCCTTTTCTTCCATTTGGTGCATTCTGCTCTGTTTCCAGGAATTTGGGCCACATGCTTTTCTTTGTAGTTCTTTATACCTGATAATTTATAAACTAAGGCTGAACTGTTTCCTTCAAAGTCCTCCTCTGTGTATATACCAGGTACAAGCCCCACAGTCTAAACCACCTCAATGTCAAGAGTAAAGTAAAGGTATTTTAACCTTGACAAAGCTAAGGTTTTCTGTACTCTGTCTCCAGCATGTCCTTGAGGTTCTCTCCCCTTTTGCAGAAATGAATGAGGCAGAAAATAACAATCGTATATAGTATTAGTTTTACAAAAGGCATGTATTCTCTTTTTAAGAAATAATTGTCATCTGTCCTTTTAACATGATTTCTGTCTATCATTCATGTTAGAAATTATCATTCATGTTGAAATTAAACCATCTCTTACAGATGAGAAAACCAGAAAATGAAAAACTGGAGAAATTTTGGATTGACTTCAACCTAGGGAGTCAGAGCATAGCATTTTGCATAGATAATGCTGAGGTAATAATGTGTAATTTGTAACTAGACCTGTGTAATGAGACATTTTGACATATAAGTGTATGTGCTTATGGCTTTAACTTAAAATTTTTTTCTTTTGAACCCCAAGAGTGCTTTGTGGGAGTCGGTGAAAATTTTTAAGGAAGCAGTAGACAGTTTCAGCATCACAGGTAAGAGGATTGTTTCTGTTAACAATATGTTGTTAAGTGCCTCTGAGTAGGTTCCGACTCAGAGAGATCCTGGATAGGGTTTCTCAGGAGCCAATGGTGGGCTTGAACTGCTGACCTTGCTGTTATCAGTCCAGTGCTTATCCTACAGCACCACACCAGGAATCCATATCTGCAATATGGAGGTGGTGGTGTGCCGTTGAGTTGGTTCCCATGCATAGTGACCCTGCATTGAGTTTTCAAGGCTGTAAACCTTCATGGGAGCAGAAAACCTCATCTTCCATGGAGCAGATGATAGCTTCAAACTGCTGACCTTGCTTTTAGCTGTCTAACTTGTAACCTATTATGGTACCAGAGCTGCATGTATATGTTGAATTAATTTTATAGCAGCCTTTGGGTGATATTTGATGTGGAAGGGAAGCAATATGATATAGTGGAAGAGGCACTGTCCTGGGGGTGACATGGCTTTGAAACTCTGTTGTTGGTGTTGTTAACTGTCATCATGTTGCATGTCATGTTGGTTCTGAATCATAGTGACTCTGTGTAGGGTCACTTTTGGTTTGAACTACCAACTTTTAGGTTAGCAGTCCAGTGCTTAGCCTTTAGCATCATACCAGGACTCTTAAAGAGTTTCTTATTGCTGTTAAGTGCTGTCAAATCTGTTCGACTCATACTGACCCTATATAGAGTTTCTGAGGAGCGGCTGATGAGTTTGAACTGCTGACCTTGCAATTGAGAGCGTATCCTACAGCACCATACCAGTACTCCTAGCAATCAGATAGAAATGGCTTTATCCTGGTGTTCTCAGTATAAAGTGTTACAATGGTGGGACTCCCTCTCCCTGAGAATTACAGTACTAGTATACTTAAGTGTGTATGTAGCATCTCCACTTACATATCAGTCCCTTGAGCCCACTTTTAAACCTGCAGCACTCATTTTCCTTCTCAGCTTGTAGAGAGGCACCTTAATGGTGTTGTCACCGAATTAACCACAAGTGGGAGTTTAAAAGAAAAGAAGTTTAGTTTATTAAAAGTCCGCATCAGGGTCATGGCTGTGTTGGTTCCTTTCTTGTCAGTAGCCCTGAGTGTTTCTTGTTCTTTTGTTTGAACGTGATCATCAAATGTGTCCTATCACCTCCTTGCATGGATTTCTGTATCTGTTCTGTCTGGTCTTTTTATAACTGAGTAGTGACTAGGATTAGGATCCATTTACTAGTATGATCTCAACTGATTACATTACATTAGATTGCAGTTAGAAAAACAATCTCGTCTACCAAAGGCCAGTTGATTTAATAGCCATACCTTGATAGCATAGTGGGTTATTCATTGGACTGCTAACTGCAAGGTCAGCAGTTAAAATCTACCAGCACCTTTGATGGAAAAAGATGAGGCTTTCTGCTCCCGTAAAGATTTACAGCCTCAGAAACCCTGTGCAGGGTTGCAACCGACTCCACAGCACATCACAACAAGAAGAAGTCCTAAACAGGGCCACTATGACTCGAAACCACCTAACAGCACACACCTAACCACACAACCACCTAACCACACAAAAGCAGCAACTACTGTGTGATTGTGCCTAGAGTAGGGTTTGGTCAGACATCTGGGGATCATGGACTAGCCAAGTTTACACATCAGTTAACTATCACAGCAGAGTTGAGGCACATGTAATCAGGAGTGCTCCTTTTCTGAGTGGAACAATTACAAGCAGGCTTTAGAAAGTGTGTGAAGATGTCATCATCTTTCAATTCCATTTTTTCATGAACTTTTTGAAGCCTTCTCATATGCAGTTAGTTCAGTTCAGCATCTTAACTAAAATCATGTTGTTGTTGTTACGTGCTGTGGAGTCGGTTCCAACTCAGAGCCACCCAGTACAGGGTTCTGAGGCTGTAAATCTTTCCGGGAACAGAAAGCCTCAACTTTCTCCTGCAGAACAGTTGGTAGTTCCCAACTGCTGACCTTGAGGTTTGCAGCCCGATTTGTAACCACTACATTACCAGATCATACTTGACTTTATATCCTCAATTGGAACTTAGAAGGAGATATTTTAAAGCTGTATATACCATTTTTATATGCCATTTTTAAGATAATGAGGTTTACTAAAGAGCTAAAACTATATATGATGTAACTATATTGGTACCTGGTGTGGAATAAGCAGTGGGCTGCATAGTTCGTTTGAACTGAAAGGTCGGTGGTTCAAAATCACCAGCTGCTACTTGGAAACCCTATACAGGGTCATTATGAATCAGAACCGACTCATGGCACTTAACAACAAGGGCAGTATTGATATTACACTTTATGTCTATCCATATAGAATTGCAGGCAGCTTAAAAACACAACAAAATAATAGCAATGAAAAATTGGAATTATGGAAAAGAATAAAGTGTATCATGAAGGCTAATGTAAAATGCCTATTTTGAAGACTGAGATTTTTGGCTTCCTGGAGACCAGGATGGAAAATAGAATATGACCTATAATATGATCCTCATATGAACGTCCCGAGAGACAAGTCATTTCTAGCCTTGAAGTTTCATTCATGTTTCTCCCATGGACTTAATTAATGATAAGTAGTCCTGAGATAACTTATATATGTGCATTAGCTTCAGTGTTCTGTTAACATAGTTTTTTGTTTTTTAATGCTTTATTTTGAATTATGTGATAGTTTACATGGGAGTACATCAGCTTCACATTGATCCCGTTGTATATCGTTTCCTTGCCACGTTTACAATCCCTTCCATGCATCATCCATCAACCAAAGGGCATATCCTGCAAGCCTGTCCCCCAGTCGTCAGCACACAGCCCCTCTCCCTCTCTGGGTCCAAAGTCCCCAGCCGCTCCATCTCCCCACGTCATCCTCTCTGCCTCCATCTTTGGCGTCACTGCTTCTCTCCACTTTTCTCCCTTGATGGTCCCAGGGACCTCTACTCCTAGACTGCAAGGTTAATCATTCTCCTCCCTTTGCTCCCAAACATCTACCTTTACATTTCCAGCCCTTACAATCAGTCCTGATAACAATTACTCTCTATTGTATCACAAGAGACCTATCCTCATCTCATTTCATCAGCCCTGACTAGGCAGAATGGATACTACTCAGTGGAGATTCTACTTTTCTCAACGCCCTCTGGATCTAGGTTCCCTCTTGCGAGCTTATAAGTCAGTCACTTCTTGCCTCTGTAGCCCCCCCATTCTGGGTAGCCAATGTCCAAGTTGCCAATCCCTGTCCTCTCCTTGTGCTGAGGAGGTAGGAATGATCCTCACTGTGAAGATTTGTTCACCCTTTTGAGCTACTGCTTCCATAGTTGTATGTCAAGTTCATCAAATTGTATCAGATTATTCCTTTTTTCCTCTTCTTCTGTTTGAGCTCTGCTCAGCCATTAAAGCCAGGTCAAATGGGTATTATCTGCAATTGTGGGTGTACTTATGCATGTGCACTCTCGTTATCGCTGGATGCTTCACTCTCCACTCTAGACCTCTGTGGCTATGTCGCTGACTCTGGGTCCATGAGTCCCTTGGACTTACCACACTGCTGGACAACCAGGTCTCCATCTGGGTTTACAGGACTCTATTGAGGCTTGTAGGGCTTAGCTAGCAGCTTCATTGTTGTTTTCCCCTCACTTCCTCTTGTCAGTGACGAATGTGCTCACCAATCAGAGCATGCAGTCCCACTGAGCCTTAGTCTTAGAAGAGGGTTTGCCCTGAGGGGGGGACATGACCACTTATCTTGATATCTCCTGGGCAAGCTACTTGCTTGTTCTTGTAGAGATCCATTGGCCTGCCTATATTGTTTTGTATTTTTCCTGTCAGTCTTTCTTTCAGGAAGTACCTTCTGTTCTTCTGGCTTGCTTGTCCTTTTAAGTAGAAATTTCCCTTGAGAAGATTCTGGATGCTGTTCAGGATTCCACCTATGGTCTTGTGTAATGCCGAGGCTCTGCAGGAAGCCTCCTTCACTGGGCACTTTGTATCCCCCTTTTAGGTATTCCAATCAGTTATAGGCAGAAGACAGACTTACAAGCTTTCTATGGTGGTATTTCTGGCTATTCCTTTCTCATACCCTCCAGTGTTGGTTTTATAGCTGTATGCCAGGGGAAATAAGATTCAACAGACAACCAAGCATCTTAACATTATTTCCCTCCCTTTCCCCATTCAAACCATGTCCCAATCTCTGTATCCCAGAGCCCTGTTGTTCGAAGGTTGTGCATACATCATTAATTGCTTCTGTCCCACTTCAGCTTCACATTCATCCTAATCATATTTCATTGCATTGCATTGATTAAAATCCCCTCGGTGCATCATCAACCAAAGGATACACCCCACAATCCCCCACCCCCCACGGCTGTCAGCAAACAGCTCCTCTCCCTCCCTTAGTCCTATGTCCCCAGCCACTCCATCTGTGCATGCCCTCATAGTGTCCCCATTTTAGGTCTGGGCAGTTTCCAGAGCCCCTCCCCGCTGCCCCAAGGTATTCCAGTTAGTTATAGCCTGGATATGGGCCCACATGTTTTCTGTTGTGATGTTTCTGGCCCTCCCACCCCCCAAATGTCTATTTCACAATAGTAGGCAAGGGAGACCAAGATTCAAAAGACAGCCAAGCATCCTAACATAATTACCCTCTTTTCCCCCTTTCAAGCCATGCCTCAGTCCCTGTTATTCCAGGGTTGTGCATACCTCATCATTTAGCTCTGTCCCACCTAGCCCATGCGAACCTGCCCAACCTTTCTCCTGTCTGCCTTGTTCTTCTTTTCCCCCTCTCTCTTCTTGTGTATTCTCAGCCTCACCCCCTGCCCCGCCCACTCTCCTGTGTCTATTCCGTACCCTGTGCTCTTTCTTCCCCTCCCTTCCCACCCCTCATCCCATAAATACCGATGATTAGCACTTATATATTTAGATCCCCCTCTTTGGGTGGGTTCTTACTCTTTTGTAATAATAGTCTTATGCAGTATTTCTCCTTTTGTGACTAATTTCCCTCAGCATAATGTCCTCAAGGATCATCCATGTTATGTGATGGCT